TTTTTTTCAAGTGAAAGGAAGGAGGCACTAGGCTTAATGTCGCTGGAGGTCACTTGGGGAGAAGGAAAGAAGCAATTCATGAAGACAAAAGATTTTCTAATAGTGGACTTGCCTACAACCTACAATGCCATCTTCAGCCGCCCGCTGTTGAATCGCTTCAATATCTTGATGTCCACCTACCATGTTGTGGCTAAGTTCCTAGGAGACAGAGATATGATCGTTGTTAGAGGAGACTTGGAGCAGTCATGGGTTTACTAACTCTGAGTGGTAGGAAGTGTGGAACAGGAGCCGCTTTACCTGTAAAATTAGATGGAAGGGGGTATGGAGAACAGTGAGACAACCCAAGAGGTTTTTGTCACCAAAGATGTTGTTTTCGTTCTTTTTCTCTTTTTGTTTCTTAGGAGTCGTTAGTTTGTCTATCATCATATAATTATCTTTTTCAATTAAATCTTTTTTTTCAGATTATATGAATGATTTAGAAAAGAGAGGAATCAGAAAGTAAAGACACACAATAATAAAGACAAATAAAGGAAAGAATGTGGAGAAATTTTGTAAAGTAAACTTCGTGTGATAGCCCAGGAGCATACATCCAAACAAAATTGGATCGAAGATGCCTTGAAACATTTCCATAAAGAAGACCCTACCAAAGCAATCCACAACCAGAGAGTCAAGTGTCTGTGCTTATTTTGGGGTCAAGCCCAACTTCAAAGGCACGTATCCGTTTGGTTAATTATATCTTGGGGGATCGCCAAGAATATTGATAAAAGGAATCCAGCTTACATTCAAGAGATGACTAGTAGAGGGTGTCACAAAAGCAGGGTTATCTCACAGGAATGTCCTGGTAATTTCAAAGCTCTCGCTAAGCCATAAAGAAGAGTTTAAGTCTCTCACATCTTAAATGGTTAGCACTTATCAGCAATCAAGGCCTATGAAATAATCAGGTCAAGTCATAGAGTACAAACTATGCTTCCAAGGCCTAACTGGGACAAAAGGGTAGAGAGTGGATCACCTTATACCAAATGTGTGGTGGCTTATCTGCAATCTGGGCCTACGAGATGACATCAAAGAAGTGTCTAAAGGAGCGACAGAGCTCAAAGTGGGCAAGCAATGGAAGGGAAGAGTAATCCTAATCGGGTAGAGATAACTGAGTTATCATACCACAGATTCGTTATCCTAAGCTATTATGACTCTAAATCTACCTGGTTATGAAGATAGTCGACCCAACGGAACCAGAGACCATTGTCAGCAAACTGTGAATTACGTCATCCAAGGAGACCTTGGTAGCCCTAAGATCAAAAGAAGGAAACATTTATCTTATGACCATATGTAGATAGGAAGAGTAGAGGCGAGACTTATACCTGCCAAAGTGGCAAGGAAGCCGTTAGAGTGGAAAGAGAAAAGAGTGGTCCAACTACAAATTTGGAAATACTCTCACAAAGAACTTACTCTTCCTTTGGGTCAGGAAAGTCTTTAACACCCTAAACGCACTAGACAACCACCTAAGTAGAAATCTATGTTGGGTCAGTTTGGTTGAAGAAGCCCCTTGGGACATACAAAATGATGCAATTTTTTATTAGTCCTAATCATGGAGGTTCTATTAATATGACTTGGGTGATGACCATGATATACAACCCATTTAAAATTTGGTCGAAGGCCATGTAGGAAAGTAAAAGCAGGTTTTAAAAAATTATGAATGTCTTAATCCTAAAATTTAATTAGTCTTAAAATATTATTAGAATTTTTTAGAAATTTTTATAACTTTAGGTCCTTAGAGAGCCTAAAATTTATGCATGATTCCCAGACAAACCATAAGCAAAAAAAGGCCAAGCCAAGTCAATTACACTGCACAAGTAAAGCAAACATAAAAATATATGAGAAGGTCGGGTCTTGTTGGGTCAACAATATATCTCAAAAAAGAAAAAAGTGGTCAAGCACCGCATATACACGTATAGTCCTAATTCTATGCATTTATGAGATTTAAAATTAAGGTACGAGACACGAGCAAACTGCTCCCGGTCGTCGTCCCATGGTTTCGTCCGTCTTGCGCAGCAGAATTTGTGTTCGTACCTTATTTCTAATACATGACTCTCTTAAGGACTCTAAAAAGTGCATAAGGAAAGTAAAAAAAAGACTCAACCTACATGAAAGCAGGGTTAGTATAAAGCTACCTACATGTAACATTGTGGGCCATGCCCGGTGAGAGGAGAGCTAACAGCACCTGCGGAAGCTATGATTAGATAAATCGTTACAGCTCCTCCTTGTTGGACATGGCTCCCAGTAAGAGACCGCCTGTAATATACTAGTGCACATGTCTCACACATAGTAAACACACAAATCAACACAAAAGTGTTGTTTTACTAGGGCAATCAAACCAACAGAGAACTATAGACAGAGTATTGAAAAAAACTGCCTAGAACCCTAGTCCATAGCCTAACACACCATATAACGTAAAGTGTCCTATCACAACATCTAAGCGAGTGCAGGGTTAAGGCAAAAAAGGTTGGCATATATTTGATGGGGTTGACATCCCTGACCCGATTCTAAGGATCCAACGATTCTAAGAGGTTCAACTAGATGCAAGTTTTATGGAAAACCTTAAAAAATGTTGACCTCATATATGATTTAAGCCAAATATGCAAGTAATTTCAAAGTAGATTTTGAAAATATGATGCATATGTAATAAAAATATATTTACTTACACTTTTAAATTAGGTCCTAAGAAAAGGAAAAAGGCTAAGTGACACCTATTAGACCCCTTGGAATCTTAGCAAAACATAAGCGTGCTCGTCACCTTGCGATAACTAGTATTACTAGGGCTGTCAATATGGCCTGTTGTTCGCGAAAACCTCATGTTCAACTCGTTAAGAAGCTCGTGTTCAATTCATTCACTAAGTTAACAAGATGAACACAAACACTTATTTTTCACTCGATATATAAACGGGTCGAAAGCGAACAAAGATTTGTTCATTTGTGCTCAGCTCATTTTGGCTCGAAATACTACTTATCAATTATATATATATATATATATATATATCATAGATATGTAGTATGCTTAGAAAAATTAATTTAACTACAAGGCCACAAGATCATCCTACTACTGCATGATTAGGGTTGCCAAAACTACTCGTTATTCGCGAACAACTCATGTTCGACTCACTAAACAAATGAGTTGAACACAAATACAACTTCTGTGATAGAAATATAAACGAGCCAGCATGGATAAATCTGACAACTTTATCTGCTCCGGCGACTAAGCAAAGCGAATCGTCTAGCCCCCAAAATTGCTAGCCAACAAATTTCAGCCCAATCTACATTAGAGAAATCTCAAGAAATAGTCAAATTGACAATTTACATTGAGCCCCCAGCAAACGACCGCCCGACAAAAAATGAAGCCAGGTGAGAGGCTGACATAGGCACCCAGTTCTGTTTGACTGGGCAAGTTACCAGGATTCCGACCCTATCTGGCCGGGAGCTTACCCAGCCTTGTATCGCCTGGAACTTTCAGGGTCATGGCCCTGTTCGAATGAGAGCCTTGAAAGCCCCCAACCTAATATTCATATATTGACTATGATACCCCCATCATATCTACGTATAATGTGTAATTTCACATTCAACATCCATATAAATAGAGGTTCATTTCATCAATAAATGTTATGCCAATACTCTGTCATATATTATACTTTTGCTCTCCTTGTTCTCACACACTCTCTCTCCCCTTAACGCTCTATTCGTTGGGTGTGTCTTCCGGACAATTTTAAATTCAACACTAGAAATTCTCATTTAGAATTTTTTATTTTCTCCTTTCCTTCCAGAAAAAACTAAAAGGATTATGATGTAATTCATAAACAACTTTGTATCCTGTAATATATTGATATTGAGGATAGCTCTCCATTTTGTAATTGAATTATTACCTTTTCTTTTGAATTGCAGTGTTTATTGCATTACAGCGTTGCAGCTTTGTATGACCAAGTTATTACATTTTACCATAAAAACTTTTCTATTAAAAATTTTATACTATGGGTAGGAATATGATTGCATGCTTACTTAACATGAATTTGTTAGGTTGATATTGTAATTTGGACTTCTCTAAGTGATCTTATTTCATTAAGGCATTATATTTTTCATATCAATGTTATGTCCAGGATATTTGTTATATATAATCTTTATTAAGATAATTATGATAATTATTATCAAAATGAGAATGACATAACCATTTCATTTCAAATGGAGATCTTTAAAGACTTGTGCACTTAGCTATAGTGAGGTTGCGGGTTCAAGCCGTGCATATTAGCCTTTCAGCTTGCATATACATCCCAAAAAAAGAGCTGTTAAGTCTTCTCTTAAATTTTATTATAAGTTAAAAAATCATTATTGACTGCATATTCATAATCAGATAATTATATTGTTAATTGATACACGTAAATTCATTGATAATTATTAATCTCATCAAAGAACAAATGTTTTAAGCCATAAATCAATTAAAATATTCTCAATTTAATGAAATTGTTTTCTTTTTCATCAACCAAATGATTCAACTCCTATGATTGAAGTTATTTGCATGCATACTCACACAATTCTTATAAATTTACATTTCTAATGTCTAAACTCTCATATTTACCAACCTAGCACTCTAATTTTAACATCACTTAAGAAAATAACACAATTATTAACTTTTTATAATGAAAACATATCTTCTCATCTTTTGATGCATAAGTTTACAACTAAATTAATATAAATATAATAAAATTTTTAGTGCTAGACATGTAAATACATAAAAATTGTGTGGTATTTATGTAAGTTTTCTTTGAATTTTTATTTTAAAAACAAATAAATTTAATCTAAAAAAATCAGAATAATTTTTAAATTCGTTTGGATTTTGCAAAAAGAATCAAATTTTATTTTATTTAACATTTCAAACATTTTTATTTTAAATTAAAATACAAATAAAAAAAAAAAAATGGATCCCGAGAGAACATTAAACATTCGCCCTAATCGAATGAGCTCACGATAAGCGACCCAGACTCAGATTCGCAGAAATAAAAAAGTTCTTCCGGCATCGAAATCAGAGGGCCTCTTTCTCCCCTGTTCCAAAATTCCTGGAACTCAGATTAAAAAAATGAACAAAGAAAGCAACAGATTCAATTTTTAAGCCGAAAACAACAACTATCTCGTAATCTTCGATTGTCAGAGGTGCATGCTCTCTGGCACTCTTCTCAAGATTTATTTCGATGATTTCAGCGGAATGTTTTGCGTATTTTAGGAGAAAATATGACGAGAAAGTTTTTCTCTGATCGCAATTTGATTCCAATTTTTAATCTCTGTGTTTTTCATTCATTATTTAGACTCTGTTATCGCCCAATCCAGAGAACAGGTAGAAGTAATGTCGAGTTATGTCGGAGTTCATCTCTCCGATCCCGCGCTCCAGAACCATTTCACGCAGGTGGAACTTCGAAGCCTTAAATCTAAAGTAAGTAATCTGAAGGCTACAATTTTTCTTTCATGTCAAACGATATCTTCGTCTCCTTGTTTTAACTATGTTATTGCATCGATTGTTTAGTTTATCACTTTGAAGAGGGAATCGCCGGAATCAGGTAAGGTGATCGTAGCAAATTTGCCATCCTTCATGGTTAAGTTAAAGGGAGTCAATGAAGTACTTACAGAAGAAGAGATCAGCTCAATCCTGGGCGAATCCTACCCCGACAGAAACAATGAAATAGATTTCGAAGCTCTCCTTCGGGTAAAATTTTTTTGGCTGGTGTTTTTACGTACAATACGTTAACCCCTTGTTTCAGAGGGAGATTTGAATTTAAGTGGAATGCTGAATTGGGCAGGCATATCTGAATCTGCAAGCTCGAGCTATAGCCAAGTTGGGAGGCACAAAGCATGCATCGTCATTTGTGAAATCATCAACAACGACGACTCAGCACACAATCAGCGAGTCAGAGAAGGCTTCTTATGTGACACATATCAATACGTGTCTTGCAGAAGACAAGTTTTTGAAAGATTATCTACCCTTGGATCCTGCATCTAATGCTCTTTTTGATCTTGCAAAGGATGGCGTCCTTCTGTGGTGAGCATGAAATTTAACTTTGTTAGCATCATAGACATGAATTCACTTTTAAGTGCTGTTTGGCAACATATGAGATTTAAGGTATCAGGGATTTAGTAAATCCCGTAAATCCTGATTTACTAAATCTTGAATGGGTTAAATCTGGAAAACCGTTTGACAACGGATTTACTAACTCCTGTAAATCTAGTAAAATTGTTTGGCAATTTCTGTTAGGATTTAAGTTGTTCTGACTATTGGAGATACTCGGAAGCCTGCGAAGTTAAATTCACCGGTTTGCGGGATTTAGTAAATTCGGGATTTACGGCCGAAATTCATGGAATCCGGATTTACGGTCCAAATTCTTGGAATCCGGATTTACGGCATCCGAAGATTTATTTTGTCCAAAATGACTGTTTGGCAGAATTCCACTTAAATCTTGCATAAATCTTGTGTGAAATCTGTTGCCAGACAGCCCTTTGTTGTTGTAGATCTTGCGTAAGCATGTGAAAAAATAGTAGCCATCTATATCAAAATAATGAGAAAGATACTAAAAAAAATAGAAGAAAAAGAATATTCTGAAAAGACACTGGCTCAAGGGTTGAAGCTGAATCCTATTTTTCAAGTTTCACTATGAGCTACATTACAATTTATGGCTCGCCAGTCCTTGAAAAAAGGAGTATTCTTGTATGTGATCACTACTAAAGAACTCTAGTTTTAGCAGCTTTTCTTCCTAGCTTCTAAAGTAGATTTTATAAATTCTAGTTCGGTTTTTGTCTTTGTTCATCATGTGGAATTCAATTAGTGCGGGCCTTGTGCCTTTCTTATTTGTAAACTTTTATCATATTAATTTATCTATAATTAGACTATTCCCTACTTTTTGTTAATAATTGGGGTAGATTTCTTAACCTTAAAAAATTTATCAGGAGCTATCATGTATTTTATTTTTCTTAATTTCTTTGTGCAGTAAGCTGATTAATGTAGCGGTGCCTGGAACAATAGATGAGAGGGCAATTAACACGAAAAAAGTTTTGAACCCTTGGGAGAGAAATGAGAATCACACTCTTTGTCTCAATTCTGCAAAGGCCATTGGATGCACTGTGGTCAACATTGGAACTCAAGACTTGGTTGAAGGGAGGGTATATCTCGAGCAATATTTAATCTTCATTTTTCTTTTTAGGAGATCTATTAGTTAAATAAACTTGTTGCTCTACTTTTTTCTAAAACTGGGAAACTATATATTTTTTTTCAAGCATTCTTTAATTTTTATTTATTGGTATTTAAATTTATGATGATTATTCATTAAGGTCTTATTTGGTTGCTTCTAGATGGGATACTTGTTTTAGAAATTAATAATTTTGCTTTTATTCATTTTCTTTGCGGAAATATAAGGAGAGATTTGTGACTATTTTGAGGAGATCAGTTGAATTTGAAATTAATGTTGGTTTGTCAACTAAATCCAAACAAATGAAGGATTTAGCAAATTGCACCATTTCTCAGAATTTGGTTTCTGGCTCAAACATCCAAATGCACCCTAAGAAATTCATCTTTCAAAATATTGTCAACAAAGTTTGCAAACTCTTTTTCAAGAAAACCATTGTTACATGTGAGAAATTGTTTAGCAATAGACTTTGTCATATTTTGTTGCTAATTACATTGTCATGTTCTCCTTCATACTGAATGAAAATGTTGATTAATTTGGGATTCTAAATTGGATATATGATACTCTTTTGATGTCATGACTTAGATACAACTTCAGGCACGATTATATTTGATTTATTTTTTTTTCATTCGATGATTACTAAAATGACATATAAATAACTAGCATTGTTGGGATGTGAATTTCTAGTTACATTGCAGCAGGAGAATTGTAAGTATTTATTCATCTTCATTAGAAGAATTATATTACATGCAGAACTTAGCCTTTGACTAATCAAATGTAAGGCCACCATATACAGTTGGCAAGAAAGAAGCTACTAAGATTTTTTTATTATTGTTTTAGTCTCCTATCACAATTTTGCAAATTTTCTGTTTTAATTAGTCATTATTTATTATTTTAGTCTTTTATCACTTTTTCCTTTTGTATGGCAGCCTCATTTGGTGCTTGGATTGATATCTCAACTTATAAAGGTATATTCTGGACCTTACTATGTTTTTCTTACTTATTTAAATAGTGTTATAACATATAATATTGAAGCAAACAAAACTAAGATATGCTTGAACCACTAGCACTCCACAATTACTTTGTTACAAGAGTAAAGTGCCGAAATAGTCGCTTGACTATTTACATGGGTTCATTTTAGTCCTAGAGTATAAAACTGTCAAATTAACCCCCATCTTATACTAATATGGGCTGAAATAATATCCAGGAAAACTATTTTAACCCTTAAAAGAGTCCGGGACTATATTGACACTTATATAGACTATGGTACTAAAATGACCACTGGAAAAGAGTCAAGGGACCATTTCGACACTTTTCTCAGTACATTCATGCTATGGAGATTAGCCATGTCGACTTATGCTGTATGCTTAAATAATTCAGATACAACTGCTAGCTGATCTTAATCTTAAGAAGACGCCACAGCTGTTGGAGCTAGTGGATGATAGTCAGGTAAGTAAAATTTTCTAGTAGTCATCCAATTCTTTCTCATTTTTTATGCTCAGTGTTTTAATTTTCTTTTTGGATAGCACAGGATGTAGAGGAACTTATCAATTTGCCACCTGAAAAGATGTTATTGAAATGGATGAATTTTCATCTCCAAAAAGCTGGTTATAAGAAGCAAGTAACAAACTTTTCCTCTGATCTGAAGGTAGTTTTTTATCTCCATGATCTGATCTCTATTTATTTTTATGTCATTTTTGGCCATGATAAAGCGAATTGTGCAAAATTTTAATGGAGCACTATGACATTGCATTTGGACGCTTTTATCTTTGCATTTTATTTATTTACTTCTTGGTATAGTTTAACCATAACAGTGGGCATTTCCGGTGCATTTCAATCACATTGGATAACCAGAATAAAAGGGGCGTTCAAATCTTGCATTTTGTTTGTTTCTTGTGACCAAAATTCATTGCTGCTGAGTATAATTCTAAAAAAAAATTTATCTTCAAACATTTTCACATCACCACCTCTACAATTCTAAGGGTGTGGAAATCAATAACTAGACTATCCCATGTAATTAGGTTAGAAGTTTTGGGCCATTTTTCATATAATTAGACATCTACGTACTGAACTGGGCATTCAATCTTCATCTAATATTCCTTTCTGTTATATTTGGTGATGATAGCAGTTAATTCAATGACAATCACACATTGTTCTTTGGATTTTACAAAAACCATCTAGGCTAATATATTTAGTTTATGTATTTACGATAACGATAGTAAATTTTGCTGACTTTAGGATGGAGAAGCTTATGCCCATCTCCTCAACACCCTTGCCCCGGAGTACTGTAGTCCGGCTACCTTGGATACTAAAGATCCCAACAAAAGAGCAAAACTGGTGATAGAACAGGCAGAAAAACTTGATTGCAAAAGATATTTAACTCCCAAGGATATTGTTGAAGGATCCACGAATCTTAATCTAGCATTTGTTGCACAAATATTTCAACATAGGTAAGAAATTTCTCACCCTTTTTTTGGTCTCGATAGACTTCTGTTTTTGTTTTGCTTCCTGTAGAGAATGCATTCTATTTTACTTTGTTATAAGAGTACGGCTATTCAGACCAGCTCAGAGCCAAATAAACATTATATAGAGAATTTGATGATGAGCTGCATGCCACATGTCACCAAGCCGTGCGTTCTTAAAACCTTTCTTAGGCTCTGAGTTGGGATGCAAAGCATTCCTTTGTTGTAATCAGCAACTCAACTCTATCCTATATCTTATGCTTTGAGATGATGAAATGATAATCTCTAAGTATTTTAAATAATTATCTTTTATTAAATATGGATAGAATGACCATTAGCTGCAATTTCTCATCTTCCGTGTGAGTAGATATTATATTAGTATTGATTTTTTCATTGAAGGTTAATCATGATGAATAGTAATTTCAAAACTCTTAACTTGTTTTCAAGCCAGATTTTATTGTTTGACCCCTAGAAAAAGAAAATTTAATGCTTTCTTAAAATTCTAGGAAAAAGTCCTTTCATATTGAGTTATTTACATCGAGTTATTGAGTTATGAATAGGACCTTTGATGCATGTAATTTTCAATGTATTACTTAAAAAGTAAATTTTCTCTCAAATTTGTGTTTGTTAGTTGGATGTGAGTTTTTTGAGTGTGATGCTGATAAAAAATATACCATAGAACAACAATTCCGAATCATTATCGAGCTTAGGATTGATTAGAAAATAAATCATGCCATGGAATAACAGGATCTCACCAATTCAAGAAAACCGGAACAAAATCCAAGTAGAAAGCACAATCAAAGCAATCAGAAAAGCACAAGAGAATTTACGTGGAAAGACCCAAGAATGGGAAAAAACTATGAAGCCACTCCACCAGAAAATTTCACTATGAAATTCAAAAAATGTTACAAAAAACTCACACCAGTTTTTTTTTTACACACAAGAAAACTCTTAGGACTCGCACTCCAAACCTTTCCTGCTCCAATTCAATGTGAAAAACACATGCTAAGATCCCATAAATTCTCCTCTCCGACCTTTCACTCATTCACCAGGAACTTGTCAAGAAACTTGTGCAGGAACCATGTCCATTGTTGCTCGAAATTGGCCTTAAAAACAAAAAAAATGAGCTAACTACTCCAGACGCTTAGACACCGATTAGGCACCCAGACTCGGTGTCTAAGCGCCAAGCTCTCAGGAAGCAGAGAAAAAAAATCACGCCCAAAACATTGGGCGCGTGAGCACCCAGATTTGGGGCCTAAGCGCCCAAGGCTCGGATTGTGCCCAACACATTGGGCGCTTGAGCGTCCAAGGCAGGTGCTTGAGCGCCGAATTCTCTTCTTGCGCACCAATATGGTTTAGGGTTTAGAGGCGCCCAAGGCGGGCACAAAAGCGTCTGTCTCTCCGTCGAGCGCTCATCAACGGACGCTTAGGCACCAAAACCCGATGCTTAGGCATCGGGTTAAATTGGTGCTTTTGGCTCCACAATCACAACAATCTCCCAATTGGAGACAATAGCACCCAACTCTAGTCCTCTGCACCTGCACCTCCATTTGAATCGCCTTCATAATCATGTATTGTGGTCACGTACCGTGGTGCGGTTCACCTCCCATCTAAACCTTCATGAAACTCAACTGAAGCCAATCATAGATTTAGTTTATCTACAATCACCACCTATGTCAGCATATCTGCGTGATTCTCAATTGCGTGTATCTTTTCCAGAAACAACTGTCCTTCTTCTAGAGATTGAATGAAAGATTCCTAAGCTGGATGTGTTTCGTCCTGACATTAAAAGCAACGTTCTTAGCAAGATGAATCCAACTCATACTGTCACTATATAGTTTTCCAATCCCCTGATCCTTGTTCAATTTTGCCATGAAATTCTGTAGTCATATCATTTTCTTGCTAGCCTCAGTGATAACAATATATTCTGCCTTAGTAGTTGAAAGTGCAATGATCTTCTACAACTGGAAACCCAAATCACCGCTGTGTTCCCCAAAGTAAAGATATATTCTGTTGTACTTCTAATATTCACATCTCCTGCCAGATTTGAATCTACAAATCCCTGTAGACTGATCCCTGAACTTTCATAGCAAAATACCCTGTTGACAGTTCCCCTGAAATACCTGTGATTCCACTTTACCGCCTCCTAATGATGTCTGCCTAGATTGCCCATGTACTTGTTGACCACTCCTACTGTATATGCAATATTTGGCTTGATACAAATTATCCCATACATCAAACTTTCAATTGCTGAAGCATACAAAGTTCTCTCCGTCTGTGTTTGCTCTGCTTCAGAGTTAGCCAATAGCTTTTTAGATAGTTTGAAGTGACTACCTAAGGGAGTGCTAATTGGTTTCACCTTATTTATGTTGAACCTCTATAGGATCTTCTCAACATATTCTGCCTGAGACAACTTCAGTTTTCTTGCACTTCTGTCTCTGCTAATTCTCATCCCGAGGATTTTCTTGATTGGACCTAAACCTTTCATCTTGAACTCACTTGATAATTGTTTTTTTAAGTTCCTGATTTTCTCTATATCTGCTTATGCAATCAACATGTTATTCACATTCAAAAGAAACAAAATATAACAGTTACCGAAGTGTTTGATGAAGTGGTCTGCCTGACACTTCAAGTACCTATTTTTTGACATAAATCAGTCAAACCTCATGTACAGCTGTCTCGTGGTTTGCTTCAACCCATAAAGGCTCTTCTTCAATATGCAGACCAAACATTCTTTGCCTGGAAACTTGTAACCTTGTGGTTGCACCATATATAACCCATCCTCTAGATTTCCATGTAAGAAAGTTGTTCTTACATTCATCTGCTTCAAATGTAGATCTTCGTCTGATATTAGACTCACCACACCCTTGATAGTATTCTTCTTACCACCGGGGAGAAGATCCCTATATAATCCACCCTTCTCTCTGCTGTAAATCCTTCATAACAAGTGTTGCCTTGTAGTGCTTGCTACCATCTGACTCCTCTTTCAATCTGTAGAGCCATTTGTTGTGCAGTGTTTTTTTGCCATTTGGTAGTACCTTCAAATCCCAAGTTTGATTTGACTCCAAAGATTTCATTTCTTCATCAACGGCAAGCTCTCACTCCCTTGAATCTTTAACTTGAGTGATCTCCTAAAAGCACTCTGGTTCACCGCTATTAGTTAGTAACAAATAGTATAAAGAATGAGACTAACTGTGTACGGGTCTTGTCACTCTGCTGGATTTACTGACTTTTGTAGTAGATGACCGAGGAACTTTCAGTGTTCCTTCTGGTTGAGTGCATCTTCTTTCTTCATCTTTCTGATCACCTGTATCATCTTTCTTCACACATATGGATTCTTTAGCAGTAGTTAACGTACAATCCTCAGTTCCGATCTTATCTTTGTACATCTCCATTTCGTTAAAAGCGACGTTTCTGCTTCTGCTGAATTTTTGATTCTGATAATACCTGAACTTGTACCCAAACTAATCTAACCCATATCCAATGAATATACACTTGAGAGATTTCGAGTCAAGCTTGCTCCTGAGCCCTGCATCAACATGCACATATGCAGAACACCCAAATATTCTTAAGTGAGATGGACATACTTTTTTGTCACCCCAGACTTCTTTAGGTAAGCCTTCCTCTAAAGGTACTGATGGACTATGATTTATCAAATAAACTGTTGTATTAATTGCTTCAGCCCAAAATTGTAATGGCAAAACTGCATGCAGCTTTATGCTCCTAGCACGCTCCGTGATTGTTCTGTTAATGCACTTAGTCACACCATTTAGCTGCTGTGTCCTTGGTACGGTGAACTCATGCTTGACCCCCTCTGTGGCACAGAAATTTCTAAACTTTTGATCACGATACTCACCCACATTATCTGTTCTGAGACGCTTCAGTTTCAAGCCTTGTCTCATTTTCTACTATAGCCTTCCACTTCTTAAAGGCTTCAATTACATCATGTTTTTGCTTTAAGAAATAAACCTATACCTTTCTCGTGTGACAAAATAGCGAGAATCTTCAATGCATTGAATTGGAGTAGGACCCCATACATAAATATGCACTAACTCTAATTTCGTTGATTTCACCACTGGCCCGCTCTTGGAGAAAGTAACCTTCTTCTGATTGCCATATATTCCGTCTTCATAGAAATCCAAATCAAGTGATTTCAAACCTTGAAACTTATTCTTTGAAAGTAGAGACTTCATACATTTCTCGCTCACATGGCCAAGCCTACAGTGCCATAGATCTGCATCCACACTGGTTCCAACCATATCAATGAAATGATTTCATTGATCAAATAAAGAGTGCCTTTAATGTTGTCTCGAGCCTTCACTAATGCCCCCTGGTTACCCTCCATGAATCATCTGTGAAAGTAGTCATTAGTCTTGAATTTGTCAGCTGACTTACAGAGATAAGATTTTCCTTTAAACATAGAATATTTCTAACTTCAATAAGCTTTCAGACTGTTCCATTCGATAACTTGTTATCAACATCACCCTTTCCCACTATACTGCAGGCCTTGTTATCTCCAAATAAACATTCCCTAGATCACTCTGAGTATAGTTTTTAAATACCTCTTTATTAGGGCAAGCATGAAAAAAGGCACCTGAATTCACTATCTAGGATTTAGTACCGACTAAGGATAACACCAGGGAGTCATTTTGGATTTCACAATGGAGAAATTAGTAGAGAAACTACTTTCTTGTCCTCCACAACCAACATTTCTTGGAGGTTTACAGTCCTTCCCGAAATGCCCTTTCTTACCGCAATTTCAACATTCTCCTCTGCTTGACTTGGTATTTTTTTCTTGGACTTGGATTTGTCTCTGTCTGTATTTCTGCTCAAATTCATCCATTGTTAACAACATTCCACGCAGAACCTGAAAATTCACTATTCACAGCTTTTCTGTTAACTTCTTCATTCATCATCAGACCCACTATATTATTGAAGTTCAACTTCGAAGTCCTTGAAGAATTACTCACCGCCTTTACCAAACCATC